AATCTTGATGATCTTATAAACCACCTTTGAAGGCTAAATTAGTACTCAGCTGTCTAAAAATGAATTTTATTACACAATAACTTTCATATTTGAAAAATCCACCGGGGCCAAAATGCGAAACCATACTCCTAACTGTGTATTGCTACCTAAGGCACGTCTTTTTCTTGGCCCGGTTGTGGTGATGTGTATTCTTTGATATAATCAATCAACCACAACTAATCTAAAAATAACTGATTGTTGTGACCAATCAAAAAATAGTTCATCGATGTAAATATACATTGATATAGCTGATGAAAAATCTGCGAAACTTTATTTAAAAAAAGTTTTGTTCATTCTCGATGAAATTACGTTAGTTTTATTTTATGATACCAGAGACTATACCAAATTTTAAATTTCTACTTTTAAAGATCACAGTAAAATAGCGATGTCAGCTAACTGGCAACTTCTATTATGTAACCGAAGTCTCGATGTGCAAATGTATAACCAACTAATCAAGAAGGTTGTAAAATCCCGGTACGCGCGACGGGATGCATCCAATTATCATTCGGATGAGTTTAAAACACCTGTGGAGTGTTGTTACTTGTCACTTCACTTTCAAAATATCGATAATAAATATTTTACACAGTTATAATTTTCACACATAGCGGGATGCATTGCGGCAATGATGAAAGCATGGCGGTCGAAATTTATGTGTAGCGGTATCGCAATGCTTGAATAGCTTAGGGAAAACACTGATTAACAAATGATCAGAGGGATCATTATTAATATTATGATAAGAACGAAGACATATACATATATAAAATTGAGAATGGAAATGGGGAATGTGTCAAAGAGACAACAACCCGACCATAGAACAGACAACAGCAGAAGGTCACCAACAGGTCTTCAATGCAGCGAGAAATTCCCGCACCCGGAGGCGTCCTTCAGCTGGCCCCTAAACAAATATATATACTAGTTCAGTGATAATGAACGCCATACTAAACTCCAAATTGTACACAAGAAACTAAAATTAAAAATAATACAAGACTAACAAAGGCTAGAGGCTCCTGACTTGGGACAGGCGCAAAAATGCGGCGGGGTTAAACATGTTTATGAGATCTCAACCCTCCCCCTATACCTCTAGCCAATGTAGAAAAGTAAACGCATAACAATACGCACATTAAAATTCAGTTCAAGAGAAGTCCGAGTCTGATGTCAGAAGATGTAACCAAAGAAAATAAACAAAATGACAATAATACATAAATAACAACAGACTACTAGCAGTTAACTGACATGCCAGCTCCAGACTTCAATTAAACTGATTGAAAGATTATGTCTTCATCATATGAATATCAGGCACAATCCTTCCCGTTAGGGGTTTAGTATCATACCATCATAACATATATGAGAAGAACATAACCCGTGTCATGCCAACAACTGGTTTTTAAATAAATGTGTTTAGTGCCGATGCAAAGACCCTATAAGTGAATCAATATTAACGCCAAAATATGCAATCTTTAATGACCTGACAACAGTATCGTAACTATATCCCTTCTTGATAAGTCTATTTAAAGGTTTTGTTAGTTTCAGAGGTGAATACTGACATTTTTGTGCTTTATAAAGAATATTTCCATAAAAAATTGGATGTGAAATACCTGAACGTATAAGAAGTCTGCATGTTGAGCTATATTTACGAATGATGTCCTTATACCGATGATAAAATTTAGTAAATGTTTTGACTAGTTTGTGATATCGAAAACCCTGGTGTAATAATTTTTCAGTAATACATAAATTTCTCTCGTTAAAATCTAAAACATTGTTACATACACGAGCGAATCGTACAAGTTGAGATATATAAACACCGTAAGATGGTGACAAGGGAACGTCACCATCTAAAAATGGATAATTAACGATAGGAAATGAAAAATCATCTCTTTTATCATATATTTTAGTATTAAGCTTTCCGTTAATGATATAGATATCAAGATCGAGGAAAGGGCAGTGGTCATTTTTAGTATTAGCTTTATTTAAAGTAAGTTCAACAGGATAAATTTCTTTAGTATACATACTGAAGTCGTCATTATTGAGAGCCAAAATATCATCCAAATATCTAAAAGTATTATTAAATTTGTGTATCAGATGTTGTTTCGATGGGTCTTTACTGATTTTTGTCATAAATTGTAACTCATAGCAATACAAAAAAAGGTCCGCAATAAGTGGTGCACAGTTAGTCCCCATTGGAATTCCGATAACCTGACGATATACGGAATCTCCAAAGCGAACAAAAATGTTATCTAGTAAAAATTCAAGGGCATATATAGTATCAAAGCATGTCCAATTGACATAGTTTTTTTGTTTATTGCTACTAAAAAATGACCTAAAAGAGTTTGAACATATATATTCACATTCTGACTTTTTAAATGCCCATTTAATTAGGCGTGTGAATTTTTTCTTAATGAGAATGTGAGGCAATGTGGTATATAGGGTAGAAAAATCAAAACTTTGAACAGATTCAAAATCACCAATATATGCATGCAATTTATCAAGTACTTCCAACGAGTTCTTGACACTCCAAAAGTAATTAATTCCACTATTTTCGAAGGCCTTATTTGAACAATTTATTATCAGGTTTTTGATTGTACCAAGTGTACTGGTAAGAAGAATAGACAATTTAGTAGTGGAACAATGGCTTGAAGACGAAATGAATCTATATTTGTAAGGTATTTTGTGTAGCTTCGGAAGCCAATACATAGTTGGGACTTTCATTGTATTTGGTTCTGCTTGTAAAGCGGTAGCTAAAAGTTTATGTTTGTTACAGATGTCGTTTTCTGAAAATGGAGTCAGTTGGAATGTTGGTGAATTGGTGATTTCTTTTTTCAGAACCTCAATGTAAAATTTACGTCAAACAATAATAATATTATTAGCAGCTTTATCGGCCGGGACAAAAACAAATTCCTTGGCTAGTTCTTTTAGTTTATGTTTGATACGAGAAATAGGTTTATTGTGGTTATTGTTAAGAGTAAAATGTTCTTTAAAATGTTGAATACGTATATCAACTATGTTCATTACTGATTTAAAAAAAGAGTCCAAAGATTTTTTGTCAGCTTTTTCCCGTTTTATCCATTTCAAACAGTAAGTATGGAGTGAGTCGTGGATGATATTACGACACTCATTCCAATTAATAATTGACGGGGGACGATATTTAGGTCCTTTACTGAGGAATGATTTTAACTCTCGGTCTTGAACGATGTTAAGATCTCCTGTTATAACATGGGAAATGGGTCCATAAATGTATTCGGAATTACTGCAATTACATGAAGTAGGTGTATTTTCACTGATATTAACATCTTTACACAATTGGCTATAATTAAACACAAATTTCCGGGTAGATTTCTTGTAAATATAACAAATAAGAGGGAGCTCAGTATTATCAAAATATCCCGGAATTTGTTCTTTAACAGAATGGTCGTTAAAAATACCGGCAATATTTACAAAATCAAAACCTTTATTGACATACTTAATTTTAATAAACTGTTTTTTATGATCTTCAGGGCGATCAATTTTAGGAAACAGTTTAGAATAACAATATGCCATTATAATTTGAACGATTTCATACTTAGGACTGCTATATGAAATTGTGTTGCAATCCTCTAAAATTTTATTTAACTTATTAACCGGTAATGAACAGAGCTTTGTTAACAGATAATGTCTGCCGTTGTTTTTTGAAATAGAAATTAGGTCCGAAATATTGGTATGATTGGTCCGAAATTTTCTTTGATTGCGATTTTTTCTACGACCATGAGAACGGTTTTTACGAACAGTTTTAGAAACTATATCCAAAATGTTAACAGAATCGGTTCTTGATATATTACCAATTCCCATGATATTATCATTAAGACCAAGAGGGTAGACTGTCTGTAATTTTTTAATCCAATTTAATTCAATTATTTTCCGCGATCGTACAAACTTTGAATGAGATTCACCAGGCTGCTTATTTACTACTTCTAAAGGTTGAACTGCTAAATATTTAAAAGGATGATTGTGCTTCTTAAGGTGTTGATAAATGATACTTTTGAATTTATTTGGTCTTTTAAAACGATACAGATATATATCTCAGATAAAAACAACAAGCTTCTTCACTTTTTAAATAACTATTATATCTTTTTTGGAATATTAAAAACTTCATATCTTATTAATAATCACCATTTTACGAATATTCTTTTACATGTACATGTAACATTCATTAATTACATGTAATGCACATTTTTATCAAGGTAAATAAATTTATGATTAAAATGTATTATTCCAATTGATTCTTAATATCTTTTTCTAGAAACAATTATATTTTCCTCTCTTTAAAACAATAGAAACCATGGCCGAAATGACTTTACAAAGTATGGCCGAACTTGCAGTATTGCGGAGGCGAATGTGTTTGAACTGGCAGTGTGGCCGAAACGTCCTGCATTGCTTTTTATGAATTAAATTTCCCAGCATCTATTACATATTTTTATTTATTTAAAGGAGTCTTTGGCATGATCACTGTTTATCTGTTATTTTCTTGCCTCATGGTCTGAATGAAATGATGATGAAATTGAAAAATAATACACTATGATTTTGTTTTCATTTGTTATTTTGAATTTCATATTTGCTGGTTTTACAATCAATGTACAACCCCCAAAAATGTAAAAGGGGAAATTTCAGCATACAAATGTTAAAAATAGAAAGAGATTGCAGATGCCTAAGTTATAGGACTATGGTCATATCATGTGGTAACTTTAGAACTATACACCGTATATACATGATATATGGGTTGGGACCTATTCCAAGTAATTATGTCTTGAATGGCTATTTTTCTTTTTTTTTTTCTTTGACGCCGTCGTAGGAAGGCGTCACAGAAAAAAAGCCTTTCAAGACGTTAATTATTTGGAATATAGTTGGACCCCAAAATGTAAAACTAAAGTCAAAGAAGACCTGAACAAAACCTGTAAAACAGTTGCTTTCTGGTAAGGATATTTACGTACAGTGTAAAGACCTATTCTTAGGAAAGCAAAGTATAGTTGCATGCTTTCGCACATTCTTCTTTTTTGCAAATAAAAAGATAAGATGATGTATGTTCTAACTTAGTTGTCTTTACATTCTCCTTGGAATTTAACCGGACATTCTTTGTGCATTATAAAATTGAAATCATTTCCGGACTAGACTACCTATACGGGCTCAATTTCCGAAGCAAGGTTGTCGGCTCTCCGAACTTTCCCGAAGTGCTGCGTTTTTGATTGCCGAGTTTATGAGCTTCGGTCCTTGCTTGGAAGTTGATACGGTCCGGCACTAGTTTAAAAAAAGAGGGACGAAAGATACCAGAGGGACAGTCAAACTCACAGATCGAAAACAAACTGACAATGCCATGGCCAAAAATAAAAAGACAAACAGACAAATAACTGTGACAATTAAATGTTTGAAGTTCTTAAGAGTGTAGCGAAGTAGCAAAGTAGTAAAGTTAGCAACAATATAGCTAACTAGCTAATCTTCCATGAATCCATCAAATAAGACATATATTTAAAATAAATAAATATATATTGAACAAATCTACACTATATACGGTTTGTGGAATCTGAAAGTCAATGTTTCAATGGTTGGCTTGTCAGTTATGCAGGGAAACTGTATACTTACAATTTATTATGTCCAAAGTTTTAAGAATGATGTGTATACAAATCCATTTCGTATAGATTATATACGCTGTATATTGTTTGATGTTATACTTGACAGATACTTCATATCAAGCATATTGACAATAAGATTTGATTTAAATTTGAATACTTTTCTTTAAAAACTGCCAGGTTAGTAAAGAATTTTATCGAGATTAAGGTTGAATAGAATCAATTAAAAGTTCAAAAAATTTAACATTTTTATTGCTTATAATCAATTTATATCATTTTCGTCACAGTGAATTTATCTTTAAAAAAAGTATTATTAGCTATATGTTATATTTAAAGCAACATCGATGCTGTTAACCAGTCAATCTGACTTCATCGCAAAACACCCGACATCTATACAGTATAATAATAAGAATAGAATGAGAATATTTTATTTTCCAATTAAAGGGCCCTATAAAGAGCTTTTATCATATTGCATACAGATACATAAGATTGGACATCAATTGATAAATATGAAAGAAAACAACACAGTTTTACAATAACTGTTATATAAGGCCAGGACAGTTTACAAATAAGGAGATGTGATGTGATTGCCAATGAGACCACTATTCATATGAGTTTTTAGATAGGTTATAATCAAAGTAACATCGATCTAAAAGGCTAAGATATTTGAGGCGGTGTTTGCATTTATAGGTGCTTTAACTTTTTCACTTGATTGGTCCGAATTTATGATTGTACAAATAAAATGTTGACAAATCATTTTGAAGCAACAGTTATATTTTCTCCATATAAAACAATGTTAACTTCCTGATGAGTGTTATTGTTGAGTTTTATTAGTCAATAATACTTATTTTCTGGTCAATGTCAGAGAACAGTATCCCCGCAAACCGACCCCTAATTCTTGTGTATATGAGCATAACAACTGTCATAGTTTGGACGTTGGTGTATTTCCAGAAAAAAAAACTGCATTCAAGTTAGATATACCATCGTATTAGTGGGAGAAGATCTCTTCTTCTTCTTTTATTGAACAACTACGAGATAAGGACACACTGTATTTGTCACCATCAGAAAGTACTAGATAGCTATTTTTCATCTGTCCTCAAAACAAAGAAACAGTACCTGCATGTCACATATGACATATGTGAGGAATACACCTTTCAACTCAGCACCGAATATTACTGTGACAGAAAGTGATGAGTGGATTGGACCAACTGATAGTCCTAAAACTGCTGAGTTGGTTGATCTTCAGCAGTTTTACTACGGCACTATCACCACTATCACAAAGTGATAAAACTGCAGTGCTGAGTGAATTGAACCCTCCCAACCATAGCTCTTGGTATCTATCCGATCTTAACAGTGCTCTTCCAAACGTCGATTGGCCGAGTAGAGACACAACGAGATTACCAGATATCAATATTTGCCACACCACTGATTTAAAAAAAAGAAGCCAAAGCCAATGCATCAAACTACTGTTCTGTATCGTAAACATTAGTTAGCTGTACTGTTTTAAAGCAGACGATTCACAGCCTAGTTATCAGACACATATAAAATAACAGCATTTTAGCCGACATGGGTTCAGGACGTCACAATTATGGGAAAGCCAACTCATCAACACGATTGATTACATATAAAAAAACATGAATCCCAGACAACAGATAGATTTCATCTTGTTGACTTCAGTAAAGTTTTAGAAAAGGTTCTACACAAAAAACTTGCAAGTAATTAAGGTATATCGCTACGGTGTTATAGAGGTAACACCCTGCAGTGGATTAAGAGTGTCTCAATGTAGGCAAATGGCGGCAAGTTGTAGTTGTTTGTGCGTCATCTAACCGAGTTTCTGTAGTACCTTTAAACCCAAAGAGAAATGTACTTAGACCTGTACTGTTCGTAGTCTACAGTAACGAAACAACATCCAGAGTCTAGTCCATCAACAGGTCAGCATTGTCAGAGGAGAAAATGATGCTGTAACGTATTGACACTGATAGTGATAATCAGACTTAGTTGAGTTTCGAATCAGAAAAGTGTGATGGTATTTTAATCTCTAACAAGTGCAAAATCATCAATACGTATAACTCCATCCATGGCCACATACAACAGATGAAACACCGAGCTAATTACTAAGTAGGTGTTACCAGTTCAGTTTGGATCCACACATTTGTACAATAATAAATAACCCCACCAACACCTTACGGTTTCTTTGCATAACAACCAGCGATTACCAAAAAAGAATTACAGAAGCCAGCTTAAACAGTATATGAACTAATGCTTACAGCTTGAAAATGTAACTACTGTCCGAAATCATCCCAACTAGCAGCATGCCACTTTCAAAGAATATGCGACGCTGTTCATTCTGCTTCATCATTGGCGACTACACGAGAGAAAAAGAGAAAGGAAGAGTGCAGCGAAAGGTCCATGCTAAACCAACTACAATTAGACAGTACAGTCTAGTGGAAAGAAAACAGTGAAATTTACCGAGATTTCAACACATAACGCAGATGACATTTAGACTAAGCCTCGCCCCATATTATACGTAAGAGGACATTACGATAAAGCCTTACCACATATTATAGGGAAAGAAAACATTAAGACTAAGCCTTACCACATATTATAGGGAAGAGGACATTAAGACTAAGCTTCACCACATATTATAGGGAAGAGAACATTAAGATTTAGCCTCACCACATATTATAGGGAAGAGGACATTAAGACTAAGCCTCACAACATATCATAGGGAAAGAGGACATTAAGACTAAGCCTTACCACATATTATAGGGAAGAGGACATTAAGACTAAGCCTTACCATATATTAAAGGGAAGAGGACATTAAGACTAAGCCTTACCACATATTATAAGGAAGAGGACTTTCAGACTAACCCTTACCACATATTATAGGTAAGAGGACATTACGACTAACCCTTACCACATATTATAGGGAAGAGGACATTAAGACTAAGCCTCGCCCCATATTATACGTAAGAGGACATTACGATAAAGCCTTACCACATATTATAGGGAAAGAAAACATTAAGACTAAGCCTTACCACATATTATAGGGAAGAGGACATTAAGACTAAGCTTCACCACATATTATAGGGAAGAGAACATTAAGATTTAGCCTCACCACATATTATAGGGAAGAGGACATTAAGACTAAGCCTCACAACATATCATAGGGAAAGAGGACATTAAGACTAAGCCTTACCACATATTATAGGGAAGAGGACATTAAGACTAAGCCTTACCATATATTAAAGGGAAGAGAACATTAAGACTAAGCCTTACCACATATTATAAGGAAGAGGACTTTCAGACTAACCCTTACCACATATTATAGGTAAGAGGACATTACGACTAACCCTTACCACATATTATAGGGAAGAGGACATTAAGACTAAGCCTTACCACATATTATAGGGAAGAGGACACTAAGACTAAGCCTCACCACATATCATAGGGAAGAGGACATTAAGACTAAGCCTTACCACATATTATAGGTAAAAGGACATTAAGACTAAGCCTCACCCGATATTATATGGAAGAGGATATTAAGACTAAGCCTTACCACATATTATAGGGAAGAGGACATTAAGACTAAGCCTTACCACATATTATCGGGAAGAGGACATTAGGACTTAACCTTACCACATATTATAGGGAAGAGGACTTAGACTAAGCCTCACCACATATCATAGGACATTAAGACTTAGCCTTACCACAGATGGCAGGGAATAGGACATTAAGACTTAGCCTTACCACATATCATAGGGAAAGAGGACATTAAGACTAAGCCTTACCACATATTATAGGGAAGAGGACATTAAGACTAAGCATCCCCTGATATTATATGGAGGAGGATATTAAGACTTAGCCTTACCACATAGTATATGGAAGAGGACATTAAGACTTAGCCTTACCACAGATGACAGGAAATAGGACATTAAGACTTAGCCTTACCATAGATTATAGGGAAGAGGACATTATGACTTAGCCATACCATAGATTATAGGGAAGAGGACATTAAGACTTAGCCTTACCACAGATGATAGGAAATATGACATTAAGACTTAGCTTGATTACAGATGCTAGGGAAGATGACATTAAGACTTAGCCTTACCACAGATGATAGGAAATATGACATTAAGACTTAGCCTGATCACAGATGATAGGGAATAGGACATTAAGACTTAACCTGATCACAGTTGATAGGGAAGATGACATTAAGACTTAGCCTTATCACAGATTATATGGAAGAGGACATTAAGACTTAGCCTTACCACATATAATAGGGAACAGGACATTAAGACTTAGCCTTACCACACATAATATGGAAGAGGACATTAAGACTAAGCCTTACCACATATTATAGGGAAGAGGACATTAAGACTTAGCCTTACCATAGATAATACGGAAGAAGGCATTAAGACTAAGCCTTACCATAGATAATAGGGAAGAGGACATTAAGACTTAGCCTTACCATAGATAATAGGGAAGAGGACATTAAGACATAGCCTTACCATAGGTTATAGGGACGACGACAATACAACTTAGCCTTACCACAGATCAAATGGAAGAGGCCATTACTATTTAGCCTCAACAGATTATATGGAAGAGGACATTAAGACTAAGCCTTTCCACATATTATATAGAAGAGGACATAAGGACTTACCCTCCAACATATTATATAGAAGAGGACATTAAGACTAAAAGAGGGACGAAAGATACCAGAGGGACAGTCAAACTCATAGATTGAAAACAAACTGACAACGCCATGGCCAAAAATAAAAAGACAAACAGACAAATAATAGTACAGATGACACAACATAGAAAACTAGACTAAGCAACACGAACCTCACCAAAAACTGGGGTTGATCTCAGGTGCTCTAGAAGGGTAAGCAGATCCTGCTCCACATGTGGCACCCGTCGTGTTGCTTATGTTATTACAAATCCAGTAATTAGTCTAATTGGGTAGGTCACATTCATGAAAAGGGAAGGGTATTATAGTTACGACATAAGGAACATATCCGATATCATCTGTGAAATAGGTATTCCATAACGGTCATCCAACTCTTGATGGCGTCCGTAAAATTTACGAAGGGATGATTTCAACTTCACCATTTGGAACTCTTGGTTTAATTGCTTCCTTGTGAGCAGCAATCCTCTATCAAGGAAATCATGATAGGAAATGCAACCCGGGAATATTGTATCAATTGGGAGATATATACTCCGTATGCAGGTGCTGCTGGAATGTTGCTACATAGAAATGGAAAGTTCACAATTGGGAAGCTGAAATCATCTCTTTTGTCGTAAAGTTTTGTTTTCAACCGACCCTCATTGTCAATTTCTAGATGTAAGTCAAGATATGAGGCAGACTTAACTGTATCTGTAGTATCTTTTATTTCTAGTTCGATGGGATAGATTCGTTCAACATAGTCACCAAATTTTTTATTATTTAGTGGGAGAGCATCATCTATATAGCGTAACATAAAGTTAAAGGATATTGCTAACTTCTTATCTTTCTTCCTAAGAAGTTCCTGTATGAAGCCTCAGTACACATTATATGGAAGAGGACATTAAGACTAAGCCTCAGTACATATCATAGGGAAGAGGGCATTAAGACTAAGCCTTACCACAGATTATATGGAAGAGGACATTACAACTTAGCCTTACCACAGATTATGTTGAAGAGTCCATTACGATTTAGCCATCTATGAGTTTTTACAATCGCTGGGTGGATGCCACTGATGGTGGAGGTTTTCTGCACGAGTGTATCACCAGCTCAGTTGTCAGCACTTGTGTTGACATGAATGATCATTGATATGGTCATATTTATAAATTAACTTTTTACAAAACTGAATTTTTCGAAATACTAAGGATTTTTTACCCCAGGAATAGATTACCTTAGCTCTATTTGGCAAAACCTACCTGAATTTTGGGTCATCAATGCTCTTCAACTTCTTTCTTTATTTGGCTTTTTTTAATTCGAGCATCACTCATGAGTCTATTGTGGACATGTCTAGTGTACAAAATTTTATGCCTGGTACCACATATTATAGGGAACAGTTTTATATATATATTTTGATATACAATTGAATGGTTCATAGAGTTTTAAGCTGTGTTGAGCAATATTTGCAAAATATCATTTCCTTATGTATATAAGTAATTAATGGCACCCAACGACTAGTCTTTTTAGTGTTTCCTGTATAATTTTCTTCAACATTTTGCACCAAAAAAATTCTTACATGTATCTTATTTTACCATTTATGTGGTCCCCTTGCACACATTACCTTCATATATGATGCTTGTTAATGACCTTTTACACACATGAAAGATTATGGTCAGGTCTATTATCTCCCGTTATTTTCCCCTAGCTGTAGTTGATGTCTCTACAGCATGTAGTAAAGTCTCACATTTGACCTTACTTTAAAACTTCATATATATATATATATATAAATATCGACATAACAACAGAATTCTACTGTTTATTCATTAATCTATGGTAAAATCCAGTGTTCAACAAAAACAATAAAATGATCAGAAAATAATGTAACATGTTTACAGCATTTTTGGATGGTTTTTACATAATCACAGTTTTTACATTTTACACATAATAAATACCACATAGTATAGTATTACAAAAATTATATACTTGGATCCAAATATATGTGTAGCTGACACCTATGTTGTCCTGGTTAATGTACATATATTTTAGTTATGTTCACCAAATTACTTACATTGCACTAGAGAACATAGAAAACTATAAACTTTGCGATAGTGGATAGTTTTTTGGACTTCTGAAAATCACTATACTTTCACTTTAACCAATGTTCCAAGAACTCTTTTTTATTATAATTTATATCAAACTTTCTCTATCTGAACTTCATAATGGTTGCAGCAAGTTCTGATTATTGTTAGGGTTATTAACCAAATATTCTCGGAAAATATCTTGTATTTTATTTTTACCCAATGTTTGGTAGCATTATTGAATTTTAGTCCAATTTCTATTTTTAATAATGCTGGAATCCATTTTTTTTTTTTATTTTGGTCGCACTTGAGGTCATCACAAATAATTCTTTAATGAAAATAATCAATATATCATCTTCCCATATTTCAGGCAGCAAAATGACCTTTAATGGGTTTTACAGGATTTTTTAATTAATTTTTTGTATTGATTTTGACCACCTGATGATCTAGTTTAAGAACATCCAGTGTTTTAAAATAAACCATTTTTTTTTTAAAACTTCCTGCCAGTCACAGACAAAGAATGACCAGTAGAGAGATATTTCACAATTGCCCTTTAGATCATGTGAGGTCAAACAAATTTTCTACTTTTCAATAATAATATTAATGAAAAAATGTTTCTCTCAAAACACATTTTAATTTCAAATAAAGAGATAGATGACATGTATTTCTCTGAAAAGAAAATTAAAGTTCAAATAGTTTTGATGCTTAACCCCCCCCCCCCCCCCCCCCACTCCTTTCTCATAATCTTTGCCCTCTTTACAGCCAAGTCCAATTATTTCAGTCATGTGCTAAGTATGTACTTTTCATTGACCTAATACAATGCAATGACTGTCAGACTTATACATGCAGGACAAACAATCTTATCAGAAATGATTGTTGTAAAGCAGGAAATGGAAATTCAAAGATCAAAATTCTTGAATTGGTCAAAATCATTTTTTCCTACTGAACTTGTTTATAAAAAATAATTAATGATACATTTATAAATGCTGGCTAAACAGCCCTTTTTCAAGGCATGTAATGCCTAGACATCATGAGAAGACCTGAACTATTTTAGAATGAAACAGTCAAAACAATAAATTCTACATAAATAGCACAGATTATATCCCTCCACTAAATTCTAACAAAACATATAAAAGCATAATAAATACTATGTTCAACTAAAAAATATAAATGAGAAAAGTTAACAATCAAATAAATAAAGTAAAAAGTAATATTGTCAACTAAGATACATGTAAAATATTAATACAAATCAAAGCTTTTAGAATGAAACTGCTGTGTTTTGTGTTTATTAACATGGAGAAATAGTATTTTTCTAAACTTCTTAAATCTAAAAAAAAAATGTATTTGAACTTCACATTGGTTCATTAAGGATGAAATTTTATCCATATCAGACGATGTACTTTTATTATGCATATATTAGTAAAATGAGATGTGGAATAAATAAATATTCCTGAGACAGCAGCCAAACAAAATTTTACTAAAAATCCACAATTAACTATTACTTTGTTATATTTCATCATTATTATTCATTATACTGGCATGTACCCAAATTATTGATTGTAGTTTGTTAAGCATTAAACTCTGTATCTTATAAATTAGTACAAAACATTTAAACTATTTAAAATTTACTTTTAATATTGATGAATAGATTTGTCATGATGTTCATAAATTACAATAGCTGTTTATTATTTAATCAGAAGTTCATCAATATTTTGTATTGACTAAATTATCTTAATTGTTGTATATTTTTTTTATATATATCTTTTTAAAAAAAATTTTTATGTCAATTTGTTTGTACTACAAAGATCATTCTGAGACAATATTTTTCAACTAAACAGGGATAACTATAGCTGACTTTTGGACTATCTGAGCTAATAACATAAGTTATTTAAAGATATTGAACCAGATGATTGTAATTATTTTTCTTTCAGAAGATCACCTAAAACACATCAGTTTTTTTCCTTATGCTTTGTAAATTCTTGACAAAATAATTGCGATAAAATAAATATAAACTGAACACAAAAAATATTGCAAACTTCCTAACCTTAATCTCAGTTTTGAGTTTTAACATTTAAACTGCAATCTTTAAAATAAACCATTGGGCAATCTAAATATATCTATGTTTATTTCACTTTATGTTTTTAATTTAACTTATCTTGTAAATAGATGTATAGACAGATTTTACACAATTTGGGTTTACTGATTTATGTTAATCATTAATGAAAAATATAATACAAAGGCTCCCCTCATATAAAATCCCTTCTTGAGAACCATCTCATTTTATGGTCTTGTTTGTTGTACATAATGGTAGTGTTTTCTCTGTTATTGAATCTAGCACCAGAGGTAACATTTTCTTAGCTTAAAAAAGGCGGTCCTCTATGAAGGAGGGTGGAAACAGAATTTCAAGCTATAATGAAATAAATAAACTTAAGAAAAAAAGAAGAAAAGCAACATTTCTTATTGTTTTTGATAAAAGCCTGTTATGGTCTGAATTCCATAGTAACCATTATCCTTTCAATATATATTTTCTTGTTACCAAAATATAGGTAATTTTATTCCGCACATTTCCCCCAAAATTGAGACAGTTTATCATAGTAATCTTTATAAAAATAAATGGTTTATGCATTAGTAATACTTTATTAGCTTACAAAATATGAAATTAGTGAATATTAAATTATATTTGTCATGTAATGCGTAACAGAGTAGTATGGATTCATTTGTTGTCATGGAAACTTGATTTTGTGGTTTCAACTATTTTTGCATACAAGCCTATAGAAAACTTGTATTTTTTTAACCATTTAAAATTCATTGTTAATGTTCATCCCCCAAAGGAAATAAGTACCCCACAAATTATAGTGAATCCACAGTATTAAGATTTATATGGAAAATAAATGTATATCACAGTAAGCAAAATATCTCTATAACAAGTTTGTGACTCACTATATATATAACAAAGTTAAAAGAAAGTGCAATTTATCTTACACTATATTTCCGAAAAATATGATTACAAAAATATTTTCTATTTAAGATACCGCATTTGAAACCATTAAGTTTGATCAAATGAGTCCTAAGAGCCAGCCAATAAATTATGTCAGTGTGAATCAGAATTGGAAAAAATAAATTAACAAATAATGTCTTATTACTTTTACTTCGTTTCGATCTTCCATACAAATGTCAAATCATGTATGAAAGTGGAAACAACTTTTTGACAAAATCAAAACATGTGAGTACAAAAGAACAAAAAATACTTCTAATGTTAATTAATGTATCAGTCTTTATTCTCTTTTTCTGCTCACATGATATCATCCCTGTATACATAATACATTGTACAGTAGTCTATCTTTACCAGCCTATTTATTTCTAGTCCTAACACTTCCATGTCTTCAGTATTGTAACCAGTATTTGCTTTCTGAAATGAATCTCTCTGCACTTGTTCAACTATCAAATCCATTCTGTTTATGCCATTTTCTTTTGTTTTCATCTGTATCTTCTCACAACCTTTATATATATAAAAAAAAAAAAAAAAAAAAAAAATTTTAACTAGTTTTAAAATTTAAGCCCCTTTTTAATTTGCCTCCAAAATTCAATGAGTTTCCCTTCAGCCGACACAAATTATTTCATTTTTGACAAGTACACTTTACAAAGTTATATTAAAAAGATCTTAACCATTTGCCAAATAATGATGACCTGCGACCTGTAAATTCTCTCCCATCATAGATATGATTTCACTATCATGTTGGAGTAAACAAGCAAAGTTTTCTAATGTTACTAAATTGAACAAAAATATGAAAATAATGAAAATAAGATGGCCGAAATGACCAGTGAAGATCCTACAAATGTAAGCATTTACTTGGTTGCTATAAAACTTACAATGACTTGGTACTGACCTTAAAGCTATGAATAGAATGTCAACACACTGCTCTGATTACCACGTAACAACAATATCGGTGGCATTCCTGTTGTCAAAACATCCAACCATGCCATGTACAATCCTGCTGGACAGGTACCTTTCCTAGGCATTGGTAAAGTCCTACAGAAAATAGCAAATCATTTTACACAAATAAAGAAACAAATGTATTAACTAATACATCAAACAATATGGAAAGTAGGCAAAATGTGTGACATACAATTTGTTATTTGGTTTGTCCTTTTTAAGACCTCAAGTTTTTTTAAGCTCAAGCCAATTTGAGATGAAGAATGGCAATAAATATTCCTTACGATAACTGGTCAATTACCTTTTACCTTCTACTCAACTTATCTTGTAAGTTTTCTTTTTTAATTCTGTTTGCTTTCATGTTAGTTTAATTTTCAAATTCTTCTTTATTTTAATCCTATTTATTGATTTGACTAGTGGAAATCCTAGACATTGTTGACAATACTTTAATGATAGAACTACACTTAATACATTGAATTCAATGCACAAATGCTGTAAGATTTAGATATGACTAGAGGAAATCCTGGACATTGTTGAATGTTTTACAAGATCTTTTGCTTCCTGTGGTTTAAAATCATTTTGAATATGATTGTACCTTGATATCCTATTATCTTTTAAGAAATAAATGGAGAATGTGTCTATAGGACACAGATGATGCCCCCACTTCCATGTAACATTATAAAGAGTCATAACTCGAGAACGGTAAAAGTGACGCCACCCAACTTGGAACTTGATCTGTGTTTTGTGGTAATAAGCATTGCATATAAGTTTTAAAACATTTGGTTGAGGCAAACTAAAGTTTATAGAACGGAAACCAATTTTGGGTGTACGTACAGACGTACAAGGTGACGTCTAGGGCATAATAAACAACTACCTGGAAATACCAAGGGAGTTTCCCCTTCCTTTATATTTTTTTTTCAAGATTTGTGTGCATAAACAGGATTATTTTTTCAGTGTCCAGCTTGGAAAATTATTATTGTGCATATAGCATCCCATATTCTGATCATACATAGATAAATAACTTACATTACAATCAAAGACGCTTCTGATGATTTGATCTTCAAAAGCTCGCTCAATCTAACATTTCTCTGCGTCTACAATAAAACCAAACACAAATTTTGTATTATTTTTGTCAAGATAATTCTTGTTATTATTATTATATATGCATTATATCAGTATTTAATTAAAACAACTTTAAAGTTATAGTTTGATATGGTTCTACTATCATACAATAATTACTTAATTACTAAGTCAAACTCATTCTTCAGGTTAAATACAGTTAATATTTTCAATTTCAAAAACATTAGACCTCCTGAACATGACATTTTTTATTCCCTGTATAGTAATCAGAATTTCAACTTTCTATGAGTTATACATTTGTATGAACATAGTCATCATTTATTGGAAAACTTATACTGTTTTCTAAATGAACATATAATATTACCTTTTCTTTCAATAAAATTAAATCCTCCTCTGAAACTTTCCATGGAAACTGTTCTTTAGTCTCTCCATTATCCTCATCTAACATCCAACCTTCCAACAAACTTTCAAAAGACTTCATACTGTAGAAGAAGAAACAAAATACCTTAGATTACTGAAGCAATTTCCTTTAAAAGAGAAGTAATCTTAATGTTGTATATGAGAATTGTATAGGGGTAATACAAACAAAACAGAAACATCCCCTATGTTCATGGAAAAATAGTGCAAAATCATAAATATTACTGACTGTATAAAATAGACATTTCATTGCTAAACATTTGGGTCTATCTAGTAAAAATCATTTCAGAAAATCGAACTAAAAGCAAAACATGAAAATTTTGTTAAATCAACTTCCTTTTGGTTTTTTTTTCTACTATGCCAAGAAATGAAGCGGTTATTTTAACAGGAATTTTTTAGGTGGAATTTTATTTTTTAAAGTGTTTAATTTTACAAAGAGAAATGATAAAAAAAAATTGTTTTGAGCCTACAGAACTCATCTAAATTCAAACTCAAAGTTTCAGTAGTCCCACTTTTATAAGATCACCTTATTTGTACATTGAAAGCAGTCTTTCTCCAAGTTTTTATTTACTTCCATGCATTTTGTAACTTGATAAAATAAACAAAATAATAAAGTTGATCTACATGGAGCTTAGCACTAAGTTCCAATTCATTGTTATTTGTAGTTGCTGTGAAAAATGTGATTTACTACTATGAAATTTGATCAGATTTATAAAACACTCTTGACCTTTCAAGGAAATACAAAAATTCATCAAACAGGAAATTTATATGCAATTGATTGTACCTTTTCTCACTTGGTTTACGTCCTATTTCTGGCAAAACATACATTTCTTTGCAATCTATTCTGAATTTACTCAATAGTGTTGCTAGCCTGTAAATCAAAAAAATTGTCATATATAGTATCTTCATGAACATTACTCCTGTACACCTTCACACACTTCTAGGGAGATTTTCTTAACAGAGCCTTTTCTCGACCTTTGAAAAGGAATTCCCTAATGGGACAAGAAAATCTCCCCCCCCCCAGATAACTTCCCCTAATGAACAATATGTTTTCCTTTCCAGCAAGAAATTAACAGGTTTTTATGCTACAGGCATTTATTGCCCGAAAATTAGTTTTTCATATTTGGCTTAAAATTTTCTTCTTTGGAAAATTATTTTCTAATAGATATAAATCATTAGGCAAACAATCATTACTCCATCTGTTGAAAAAGTAACTAATTATATTTTATATCTCCTTTATGAGAAGTAATCTTAATGTTGTATATGAGAATTGTATAGGGGGAATACAAACTAAACAGAAACAACCTCTATGTTGATGGGAAGATAGTACAAAATCATAAATATTACTGATCTGCAGTATTGTATAAAATAGACATTTCATTGCTAAACATTTAAATTTATTTTTTCAATTTTTTTCACATGATTTTTTTTCTGTTATTTATGAACCAGAATTTTCATGTGTAAAAAAGGGGAAGAAAGTCTTACCTTGCACGTAAAAAATAAGTTTGTTTTGCAAAAACTTCAAAGATAAAGTATAATTTTGGTGTAGCCTTAAATACTTTTTTATTTAAGTTGTGAGGATTTTCACTTATATTTGAATAATGAACTTACTGTCTCTGTTCTCTATCAATCTCTCCTCTCTTTGTCCCTGCTGTAAATATTCTCAGTTTACAGTTACTCCATTGTTTCTGTGTAGTCAGAATGTATGGTAACAGTAATGTCAAACCTGGCAAAAAACAAACAATTTTCAGTTACAACATTGACACTGTGTGGTTAGAATTGTATTAATAATATCACATCTGAGAAAAAACAGACATCAATCAATTTTGATTCACTATATTACACATTCTTTTCAATTTAAAGTTTAGGAGTGGTCTACCTAATTTTATAAGCACTAGACAAAAAATTATATATACTTATTACTTTCTTGCTTTTTGTGTAAACTATGACTAAATTTTCGATTCATTCCAACCCAAGGCACTACAAAGCAAGCTGCAAATTATTTTTATTATTCCATGTGGTGACTGCCAAAACGTTAATCAACCTCCATTTTAGGGTCAATGACATCCGTAAAAGTTTCAAGATATCTGTTCTAGCAGTACTTCAAATTGACTTTGAGAACTTGAAAAAAAAAAAAAAGAAAGCGTAAAAAACTAATTATGATCTGCATTTTAAGGTCATTTTTTAAATTATTTTTTTTCGGTACCTTTTACAATCCCTTTATGAATGATGACATTGTTAAAAGTTCCAATTTTTTTCATATAAGTAAATGTTTGTGACCACACTTCTTGAATGATAAATGTTTACCCCTCAAAGTGGTACTTATTCTATTTTTACAATCCATGACATTTTGTTGATTGGATGTATTTAACATTTTTTGGATAAAAATCACAAGCAAAATTTCAGCTTTAGTGTATAGATACACCTCAGCCTTTTATCTTTTGCTTAACTTAGCAGATTGACTAAAAGAACATACCTCCATCATCAAACAGCCACCAAACATCTATGGTTCCTTTCCTAATCTTTTTTCCACCAAACCTTTCTGACAGCTGATCTAAAGGAGATGCAGAGTCATCCTTCTCCATGTCTCTATTAGGTGTAGAAGCATGAGTCCCCACTTCCCCATTGGTGGATGCTGTACTATAACGACGTAACATGGTAGGTGATCCCTCAGGAATGTTCAGAGTTTTATCTCTTTCCTGATCATTTTCGTCTTCATCTTCATCTTAAAAAAAAAAAAAAAAAGAAAATGAGTCAATATCCCTAATGTGCCTCAAATTGAATTTGATGAGCAGAGGAACTGTGTTATAAAGGTGTAAAAACTATGGAGTCATTGAATGCATGCAAATAACTGAATTTCCAAAGAACTGTTAGTGTAAAAATAAGGATTCTTAACCTTGAGAAACAGCATCATAAATGGCTTTTCAAAGGTATGAAAAATTGTGGAAAATTTATTCTCACTTCATACCCCAAAAAATTAACCACATTGTGACAATGTCTCGGCTTTAAACAAGCATTTATACATATTAAAATTTCAATATGGGCAGAGGAATTGAAAAAAATGCTATCATGATATTGATCCCAAAAATAAGATTATTTCTTATGAAGTAAGAATCTTGTAATCTAATTGGTGAATTACCTGGGTGTAAATAGCACCTCATCCCAGCTAAAATATTTACAACCAGGACCCATATACCCTTTACTGGGTTGTAGTACTTGTAAACAGCTATCAAAGGTTTTCTTCACCTTACTAAAGAGATCCACACTGTAATATTGTATTTTTGAAGATATATTTCCATTTTATATATAAAACAAGACCAATACTGTGTCTAGACCTGCTTCGTTGCATGCAATTGATTGAGGTAAGATGTATACTGAAGCATAATTGATTGTTCCCTAAAATCATTAAAGCCAATAAAATTTCCTTATACAATGAGTGTTGTAAATTTCAAACTATTGGCAAACAGGAAGTGGCTGCACGGCAGATATAAAATTCAATAAAAAAACTACAGCTTAACATTATCAAGCTGCAGACCAAGTATAAGATCATCTCCTTTCAAAGAAGCCAAGAAAACTTTTTAGAAAGTTTTCTTCCCAAGGTGACTTCATAAGGGACAGAAGGACTTACAGACTAACGGACAGTGTCAAGCAGTTACAAGACCTGTTATTGCCATTGGCAATGCATGTAAAAATAAGGAAATGTGTAATAATAGTTAGGAATGTGATAACAAAGGAAAAGGATGTAAACAACTTAAAAGAACTGTACAACCTTCAACAATAAGCAAAACATATACCATACAGAAACCTATAAAAGGTCCTGGCATGACAAAATGTGTAACCTATCAAAAGAGAAAAAAAAGCCCAGACTTATTACCATTTAAGTTGACTTCTTCCTCTTGCTCTTGCTTTGTACAATCACCACTTTCATCAACAAGAAATCCTTCCTTTACTCTTAGTATAGCCATTCCCATCTGCAGGTCAAAAGCATCACTGAAACACAAAATATTGTTGTATTCAATTTTTAACAGAAATGTAAATTAATCTTTATAAATCATATTATCTACTGAAATTTATTACATGCATAAAACTTGAAAAGGAATAACTTTTAAATATAATAACTAAAATTGAGTGTTGGATGTTATACTGAATTTTTTACGACTTGTGTGCCTTTTTGTTTAACCAGTTTTTGCAAAAAGAAAACAATGGAGTAAAAGATTTTAACAGCTTATCCAACATAACAGGATGGGTCATAAATTAAGAGTGCCCATCAGGATTATATAAATATTTAAGTAAATTTAATAAAATGTAAAACATTTTTAAGTAAACTAAAGAGGAATTTTTAAAAAGAACATACCACTGTTTTTAATAGTAAATTTTCACCTAAAAAGCAGATGAGATTATATCATTTAATGTTTATCCTTTATAAGCAAAATTCTTAATTGTACTGTTTAGGGTTAGGGTTAGCTCTACGTTAGCTCTGTGAATGTCTTGCATTCATCTGTGTTCAATGAATTTATTGTCATTTTCATATATTGCATTCATTCATAAATCCTTAATTAGAATAAATACAATTATTTAAAACTCATAACTAGCAAATATACAAAATGAAACTGATCAATCAACTTACTGAAATACATTAAAGTATTCCTCAACTAGACGTTGGTCTTCTTTCGTCCTCCAACCTGACATAAAACCCATCATCACTACATTAGGTCGCAGTTTACCACATCCTGTGTTCTGCGAATATATTCAAAATATGTTACATAAAAAGAATCCCCACTTCCCCATGAACATATATATATTTCACCATATTCTTGATACTTAAATATGTTCAACACAAAACCACCAATAGAAATATATATGCAAGTACCTTCAAAGGCTGGCAGATAACTTATTTCTGACACAGCCCTAAACATAAACCTCTTGAACAGGCTGTGATAATAAATTTTTTCTGGTCATCAGTCATTTAAAGAAAACTTTTTATTGATCAGCGAGACAGACACATCAATATTTTCATTAATTATCAATTTTGTATTCTAACCCAAATCATGCTAACAGGACTGTATTTAAAACAAAAGAAAAAATACTCTTAATAGTCAAGGGTATAATTCTATAGGGTTATTAGAGAAAAATGACATACATTTGTTATTGTGGACTAAAAAATCCAAAAACTGTGATAACATATGTATGTCACATGATTCAAAGAGGCAATATCCATCCTTTGTGTTGTTAAAATGTATACAAGTTCTATTGATATTATTATTGTCTTTATGAAAACTAAACTATAGAAAGATATAACAGTTCATAGTTTGCCAATCATGCATTGTATACCTATGTTATTACAGAAAAAATATGCCTGTAATAACTAAAGGGTGTTATTACAGCTTCTCTACATCACTTCAAAGCCTTTGGTCAGACATATATCATGCTTAATTACAATGTATTTTAATTTATTGTAAGAAATAATGATTATGAGGTTCTGCACAAGCTTCCAAGTAATTCCCAAGTGTCTCATATAATAAGTTACATGCCTGTAATAACTAAGCCTTGTTATTACAGCTAAGTTTATCCCTTAAAAGCCTTGTCTCACTGATTTACCATGGTTGATAAAAAATGTATTAATTTAATTGAAAAATTAGTTATCATGGCTGTGTATCAAGGATGTACACCTCTGAGAAGCCAAAAATTACTAGAATTAAACTTTTTTCTTAACCTGATTTTTGGGTTTATATGACTGTAAAAAAATAATTGGTGAAGAAAAAATCATATGGTGGTGCACTTCTTTTTTTGCTACAGCCATTTGAAAGTACCCAATTCTGATGATTTTCCCATTTTTCATCAATTTTTCGGCTATTATCATGAAAATAATCACAGTTTCACAATTAAACTTTTTTTCATACTTTCAATAAAGATGAAATGGATCAATCTGAATAAATTTAACTTAAAAAAACTATAGGTAAGTGTTAATATAAGAAAGTTTTATAAAATTTTGTTGCTTTTTCGAGTCAAATTCACCATACTGTCAATTTTGTAAATTTGGGATTTTTCTCTTTTTTTAGAACAAAAAGCATATTATTTTAACTTCTTTGTTATAAATGATTGAAAAATCACATATCTAAGAAATTGATATGGGATGTACATGTTTCTGATAAAATCATTTCTTGTACCCCTCACCCATTTTCTCAACATATTGGCTAATGAGACAGACTTGATTGGTAATAAAATTTGAAATTACTCAAAAACTACTTACTTTAAATACACAATTTTTTCACAGAGTTAAGTTTGATTATAATATTTTTTAAATTCATTGATATTTTCCACTTGTATCACATGTTTTCGAAATAATTCCAGAACAAGATTTCAACGAGACTGAAACGTCAGAAGAATACATCCTTAAGTTACTGCGCAAAGTTTCAAGAATTTCCAAGTGCCCACTAAAAATTAAAATATCTATGATTTATTTTACAAATAACAAACATATGTTACAACAAAGTAAGAGGTCAAAAGTCGCAGGCTCACCATTAAAACTACAATAAACTGTTGACACAGAGATATGCCTCGACTGTCGGCGTGAAGTTTAGAAAAAGACAATCTAATGGACAGCAACATTGCTAATTAATTCAAAGTTGTTGGACCATGAGCTAGTGGGCAGAGCATTTACGAAACGATTTTGGAAATGACGAAAGTATTTCTGATCAATTTCGTCACTTAAATGTAACAGTAAATAAATGTGGAATGTGTCCATGGGACACAGATGATGCCCCTGCTTGCATATAATGTTATAAAGGGCCATAACTCAAGAACTGTAAAAGTGACACTATCCAAATTTGAACTTGATCTGAGTTTTGTGGTAATAAGCATTGTGTATAAGTTTCATAACATTTGGTTGAGGCAAACTTAAGTTAGAGAACGGAAACGAAAAATTCAGCAATTATTCCATTTGTAAAGGGGTATAACTCTAGAACTGTAAAAGTGATGCTACCAAAATTCAAACTTGATCTGTGTTTTGTGGTAATAAGCATTGTGTAGAGAGTGGGGCATAAAAAATCTGTCTTTCTACTCACTAGCATAAGAGCCTGGACACCTGTCCTGAAATTCACAGCTGATGTTGCACTGTAAAACGCCTTAATCTTTTTCTTATTTAGCCATCTGTTTACCTCGTATGATTTGTATCTGTTTATCAACTTCACATTATCATTAAAATCTCCCTGAGAACAGAAAAACAAAAGAAATATTAGGGTTTATCATAAAATAAATTCTCCATCTTTTTCTTCTTCTTTACTGTATAGAGAGATTGTCTTTTTATCTTCTTTGGAGGTAAAGATTTCTTTTAATATCATGACCTTCTGTACAGTATTTTGTCCATTCCACCTAACAGTAGCTTGATCAGCAAGTTGCTGCTGTTTACTTTCGTGATTTTTTTTATACTTTCATGATTTTTTCCCATGAGTCCTTGACCTCTTAATATCTCATGAACATTTATCACATATCTAATCTTTTTTCAAAGAAAAACTTTTTAATTTCCTTACAATTTTTTTTTAGAATGGATAATTAAAGATAGTGTTAGTCATAACCTCTGGTTAATTTAATTTAAATTGACTAAATTTACAAAGAATACATTGTTAATTGTGTACCAATAATTAAAAAAATATAACATATAAAACTCAATGATGCTCACTATAAGAACATGGCCACACATCATTAAGCTGACTTTCTTTGAAAGTGACCACACAAAGTCCACTAAAGCTGGTCTTGACTTTGGTAGTCCTGTTAATACTAATATCTGAGGTCTGAAAAAAATCAAAGAACAAAGATACACTAAATTGTCACTAATGCTAGATCTGGTGGCACTAAATTTTTTTTGTGTATTAACTAGATTACAGGATCATATGTTATATAGATGTATAACAGATATGAATGTGAATTTTGTTCAGTCTTTTTAATATTGCAAGATATGATTGATTGTTGGTGATTAACGCCACTTTCACTACACTAAGCTATATCATGGTTACCAATTTGTATTGGTACAGGAAACTGGAGTATCTGGAGAGAACAACAGACCTTCGCATGGAAAACTTGAATTCTTGTTCATTTAAAATTCAGTCTAATTCAACTGTCCATATCAGGGTTCTAACTCACAACCTCAGTGTTCACAGGCTACTGATAACTGAAAATGAACTACTTAGGCCAAAAAAGGCCTCCTATATGATATGAGGTGTTCACTCAATTCTTGAAGTGGAAAATTTTCAACATAATAAATATCAATTAAACTTTTCTTCACCAAAATTTTAATGAATTTTTGCTTCCATGTTTTAGCTGTTTAAGAAAATGGACAAAGTGAAAGTACTTTTATTGGAGGTGTCCCAATAAAAAAATATCTTATTTTAATACCAATTAAGTGCATACTATTTATACCTTTATATAAGTCTATAACTATGAATTTAGAAACCATTAACCAGGAAAATTGTCAAAACTTGAATAAAACTACTCTGACAGTATCCAACATTACATTATTTTCAATATCAACAATTTTTTCCAGATTAACTGTGAACTTTCTAACCTGAAGTTTTTGATGTGATCTTCCACCTGGATTAATTTTAATGTAGATTGTAAAGCAGTTCTATATACATGGGCTTGTGTGGATGAACCCCAATTAACATCTGAAAATAAAATGGTTTAATGTCTATTAATTTACAGAAGTTCTGCTGTACAGAAAGGCACCAACAATATGTTCCATGAATTGTAAGACAATTGATTCACAATATGTCATCAAAGTACAGCATCCAAACTAATTATTTACAACATGGCTATGCTGGTAAAACATTACCACTTACTATTTGTAAAATGATGCTACTTTAGTCTTTTCAGATCTCTTTCAAAATGAGTGTGTCCAATGTTTATTTACATATTGGATAATTTAACTTGTTTCTAACAAAACCAAAGACTTGGCACAGATTTTCATACATACTTTCTGTTTACACATACCTGGCTTGATATGATGTACATATACAAACAAAGCTACAATGACAGCAAAAGTAATGAGAGCTGTCCACCAATTAATTATAAACATCACAGTTGTACATAGTAAGGCACCCAACAAACTTATCCACATAGAGTAGTAACGGAAAGCAGGACGCCATCCTGTTAAGGTAATACATAATTAGGTATAGAAATCATGTTAAAGTAAATCACACACATATTAATATCTATAATTCTAATGCAATTTGTTTGTAATAGCAATTTTGATTGGAAGACATAATAAATTTTGAGGTTTAAAATCCATTGTTCACGTGACTGTAACATTGGAAAGCCTCCATTTGGAATTCCAGAGTTTATTGGCATGTAATCCCTTCAATAATAAACAAAATAATCAGAAGTTTCACTTGTAAATCTCCATTTTGTCAAATCTTATTTCTGTCTCAACCATATTTAAAGCATACAAATGCGTGGTGTTAATTTTTAATGACAGATTGATACAATTTCATGCTATTTAGGCTCCAAAGACAAGTACACATTTCACTGCATTTTACATCCAAAGTTTAACTTGAATGGAAAACTAAGTTCTTTTGCATTAGAATAGAGATAAACATATTGTATTCTATCCTTGGCTTACTTAAAACTTGGTTTTAATGCTGCAAATATCTGTTTACCTAGCTCTGATACACATATATAGGTTAACTCAATTTGAAACAGTTAAACCTATGATTAATGTAGGCAAGGTTTAAAATAAAATACAGTTATCTCCTAAAGATAAGTTGGAGATCACATCAAATAATTAAAATAAATTCAAAACAGTTACCTGTCAAACTGAATTCAATATCTTAGTAAATGATGAGCCACATTTTAACTATAATTACAAGCAGGATTAAACCATTGCAAGCCACACGTAAGTTATCACAATTAGAAAAATAAAAATTCCAAGCTTCGTTTAAATTATCAGATCTAGAAGAATCAAAAATGTATTGTCCCTAACAGTAGGTGAACCAGTTTGATTTCATACTCATATGCCTTTAAAATATGGAGGTACTATGCCATCACTAAAAAAAACAACATATGAAGTGTCATAATGAGTCTTTAGTCGTTTCAGTTTCGATTTTTTGCTAAAGCTGGTGTCCCTTCATCCTGTATCTTTTTTTACAACATGATACAATGATTTTCATGTATGAGGAAAGCCAGAGATAATAAACTGCTTCGCTGAGCGCAGCTAGATACGCCCGCAGAGGTCCAACCCTGAACAGTTGGGCCAAAAATGGACACAATATTCAAGCTTGATTCAGGTCCGAATTTGGATTGTAATTAAATATTTGACATATTATAGGTTTCTGAATAAATGTAGTCAAAGATCTTGAAATTGGTTATATGAATTGAATTTATATTCAATTAAAGATTTCTTGCTGTTGTGCAATACTTAGTAAATCTGTTGTCAGACTATAAACAAATAAAGTTCAATTAATTCTCAATGTCATATTAAAAATTTATGAAAATAAAAAGGGAGCTTACATCAATAGATATAAACAATTCACCAAAGTTTCATGAGAATTGGTGGCAGCATTTTTGAGTTATTGTCCGAAAACTGGAAAATCACCCCTTTTTTAATGAATAAAACCCCATAACTCAGAAATGTAAAATGTAAAATTTATAAAATTCTAAAGGGAGCTTACATCAATACATACAAACAATTCACCAAAGTTTCATAAGAATTGCTGAAAGCATTTTTGAGTTTTTGTCCAAAAACTGGAAAATCCCCCCTTTTTTCATAAATAAAACCCTGTAACTCGGAAACGTAAAATCTAAAAATTATAAAAATTGAAAGGGAGCTCATGTCAATAGATATAAACAATTCACCACAATTTCTTGCAAGTTGGTGAAAGCATTCTTGAATTATTGTCCAAAAACTGGAAAATCCCCCTTTTTTTAATGAATAAAACCCCATAACTCGGAAACGTAAAATCTAAATTTTATAAAAAACGAAAGGGAGCTCACGTCAATAGATATAAACAATTCACCAAAGTTTTATGCAAATTGGTTAAAGCATTTTTGAGTTAATGTCCGACATGTTGACGACGGACAGACGGACGGACAGACGGACGGACGGACGGACGGACAGACGGACAACGGTATACCATAATACGTCCCGTAAACGGGCGTATAAAAACTGCTATTCAGGAAAATTAACACAAGTTGAGGACATGATTGATTGATTATTGGTTGGTTAATGTCAATTTGTCCAGTTGAGAACATGATTCATGATTGATTGATAATTGGTTGCTTAACGTCAAGTTGTCCAGTTGAGAACATGATTGATTGATTATTGGTTGGTCAACATTAAGTTGTCCAGTTGAGAACATGACTGATTAATTATTGGTTGCTTAACATCAAGTTGTCCAGTTGTGAACATGACTGATTAATTATTGGTTGCTAAACGTCAAGTTGTCCAGTTGAGAACATGATTGATTGATTAATTATTGGTTGCTTAATGTCAAGTTGTCCAGTTGAGAACATGACAGATTAATTATTGGTTACTTAACAAAAAGTTGTCCAGTTAAGAACATGACAGATTATTGGTTGGTTCACGTTAAGTTGTCCAGTTGAGAAACATGTTTTTGGCATACATTTGGTAAGCAAACTGTTAAACTCAATTCCACATTTTAGTAAATTGTTAAGACACATGTAAATTATCACGACTAGAAAACATTAGAAAAGTAAATATGTTGAGTAACTGACCTGGAGATCTGGCTAGGGATGCATCAAACACAGCGTAATTAATAAGTGTGTAAGCCATTAAGAAAAAGTTGGATATAATCGGAGCTATAGCATTCAAATCACCTGAAAAATAAAACATCAATTAAATTGAATATAATCAGAGCTTTAGCATTCAAACCACCTGAAAAATTAAACATCAATTAAGTTAAATATATTAAGAGCTATAGCATTCAAATCACCTGAAAAATTAAACATCATTTGCTATTAAAGTTATTATTTTTCTTGTTCTTACTGTTTTTACATCTTCAAGTCTCTCTAAACTATTGACAGACAGGATAGTTTTACCACAATCTCTGTGCCTTTACAAAGTCTCTCTAAACTATTGACAGACAGGATAGATTTACCACAATCTCTGTGCCTTTACAAAGTCTCTCTAAACTATTGACAGACAGGATAGATTTACCACAATCTCTGTGCCTTTACAAAGTCTCTCTAAACTATTGACAGACAGGATAGATTTACCACAATCTCTGTGCCTTTACAAAGTCTCTCTAAACTATTGACAGACAGGATAGATTTACCACAATCTCTGTGCCTTTACAAAGTCTCTCTAAACTATTGACAGACAGGATAGATTTACCACAATCTCTGTGCCTTTACAAAGTCTCTCTAAACTATTGACAGACAGGATAGATTTACCACAATCTCTGTGCCTTTACAAAGTCTCTCTAAACTATTGACAGACAGGATAGATTTACCACAATCTCTGTGCCTTTACAAAGTCTCTCTAAACTATTGACAGACAGGATAGATTTACCACAATCTCTGTGCCTTTACAAAGTCTCTCTAAACTATTGACAGACAGGATAGATTTACCACAATCTCTGTGCCTTTACAAAGTCTCTCTAAACTATTGACAGACAGGATAGATTTACCACAATCTCTGTGCCTTTACAAAGTCTCTCTAAACTATTGACAGACAGGATAGATTTACCACAATCTCTGTGCCTTTACAAAGTCTTTTATTACATTGTAGTGGCTGTATTATTAAAAATTATCAATCACATAACATTTCAATTAGGGTGCAAAACTATCTTAATAATATTAACCTCAAAACCTTCATTACAATAAAAACTTACTTATACTTAAATTATATGAACTAGGAGAAGTGATCTAGTGATCACCGATACCCCCATCCATAGCAACTGAAAGATCATGATTTTGTTTGAGGTCCAAAACATTCCATTAAAAATGTCAAAAGGGGTTTCCCTTTTATTATCCAGAGACCACAAAATTTATACTTTTTCAAACAATCAAATACCATAACTCTGCAATTTAAAAATTTAAACATGGAAATTGAACATGTCATCCAGTAATCACCAAGCTTTGAATTTTTCCAACAATCATGAATTATTACTCTTGAAAGTTAAAAGTGAAAACCATGAAAATCAAATTTAATCTATGTTTAGTGGTCCTGAAAACTATCAAAATCAAACATATCATCTGGAAACCACAAAATTTTGATTTTTTTCACCAATCAAGAACCATAAATTGAAAACAAAAAAAGTGAAAACAACAGAATTAAACTTAACGGTCTTAAATGGTAAAAAAATATTCCATTTAAATTTCAAATAATTTCAAAAAGTGGTTCTCTATTTATCATCTGGATCTGGAATCCAAAAGTTTGACAGACGAAAAGACAAGCAGACATGAAGATTTCTATATACACACAACTCTGCCACACAGGGGTATACAATTTATTTCATCTATTTATTTTCTGTCAAATGGTCTCAGAGGAGTTGCATTCACAAATCATTGTTAAAATACTAAAAAAAAATGGTCAAAGTCCCACAACTCATGGACAAATCAAAATGAAGGTATGAAGGTATTGTACAGTCAAGAGAATGTGACAACAAATAATCCCTCCAAATATGCAAGATTTCTGTCAAATGTTCTCTGTGAATTGATGTGTTTTGAACTGATGGGAGGATGGACAGAGACTTTATTAAATCCTCTGAGATGTGAGCTGCTGGTGGGGAACAATTTATCAATGAACAGAGTGACAAGGTTGAGCATGTTTTAGATTAGTTCTATCTAGTATAATGATAAAATAAATTAACGGTTACAACTGATATTGTGGTGAAAAGTTATCGAAGGAATGCTTATAAAGATATTCGGTCAGCACGCAAAATTAAGGTCAGTCTGGGAAACCCTTAACACATGCCTTTTTTTTTGCCTTAACTAACAATATTCATAGCCCTCTTATTCATTCAAAAGGGAGAGAATAGAGATGAAATCAACACTTACCTATACAAACAAATCCTAACCCTATAAAGTATGCCAATATATAGGCTCGTCTTGGATTATCACTCACACCATATCCTTTAGCAAAGAAATCTATCTTGGGAAATATCTTATCTTTACATACAGCCTACAAAAAAACAACATGTAATAAGTATAACTTTCTTGTAATTCAGAAGCAAGAAATAGGAAACAGTGGCAAAGATAATAATGAAAGACAATCCACGTGTCTTGGGGAAATTCCTTTAAAAGAAGGACAACGCTAAAGGCTAAACATGCTTCACTTTTATTTAACTGTGTGTTTAGACATTTGTTTTATGTTAAAGATTGTATTGTCTCTTGATTGTTTGTGTCGTTAGGTTGCTGTCTCATTAATATATACCCTCATCTTTTATTTCCATTCATCATCAATGTATCAAATGAAATCATGTATCTAGTTATATGACAATCACAAAACCATCATTTTGATTGGAACTTGTAATAGCAGCTACAGTGATTGTAATTAGACCATACTTCTATCAGTACAGAGATCATCAAGGATATGAGTGGATTATGTTTGTAGCAAAACAAATTTCCTGTCTCACTTGAAAGTAAACTCATCTCCCTGAATGAAATCTTGTACTTTACCATTAATTTGTAGTCATGACTTCAACCATTGTGTATTCAGTTGGGAGTAATCATAGAATATTTCAGAAGCATATAAAATTTCAAAGCACTTCAGATCATTATCACTTAAATTTCAATATAGTAATCTTTTGACTTTGGAATTCTAACCATGCAGATAGTTATCGCTTAAATTTTAACATGGTAAACTTTTGACTTCAGAATTCTAACCATACAGATAGTTTGAGGAGCATATAATAGATTAAAAGCTTTCACTTAACATAATGATATTCTGTACAAATAATTAATTGTGGCTCAGAAAACATGCATGACTAATGACCTTAATTTCACTATTTAAAGTTAAACTACATTTTAAATATGTCAAGGTAATATCACTGACTTAGATAAAAAAAAAAACCTACATAAATAGCTTTTGTTAAATCTTGACATTTGTATGAAAAAAGGCAGATGATAGTTGTTAGCTACTGTAAATTCAGAAATTATTTCCACGTTTTTATTAACTGGAATAATGTGACTGGGTGAGGAATGCAATAATAACAACTGGCATTCTGATATCTGTTACATATGTCTTAATGCAAATTTTCCTGAAATCGTAAGAACTACTTTTGTATTTTTGTCCATTCTTCAAGAAATCATAATAATAAATGCACACAATAATTTCTGAATTTATAGTAACTGGAAATAGAAAGGGAAGTAACTGAGCAAACCTGGAAGACTTTAGGAGCAGATACAAGACTGGCTAATGCTGAAGACAGAGTTGCTGAGAATATACCAATGGTGATCAAAGGTCCAAAGCCTGATATCTTTTCCATTGCCTACAATACATAACACAAATTAATCTCTCTTTTTACCTACCCAAATCACTGTATTTAATGCAATACTGCTGTGGCAAAAAAGTTTAAAGGTTAAAAAGTCAATTTTTTTTTTAATAGTTCTGGAAGAAAACTTTTCACTTGTATGTGGAACCATGTAAAATAGAAGTCACTTAGTATCTGAGAAACTGCAACACATCTGCATTCATACATTTGCTGGCAAAAACCATTTCATTTGGACACAAGGTGAATACATATGTGTAAGTTAAAATACTGGAAAAGTTGGTTAAATACAGGAATAATCCAGCTAATAATGGGATATTCCAATGCAATTTTTAACTTTTATCACTGACTGGTGCACTCTCTTGCCATTTAAACAAGAATGAACACATTGGTGTGCTCATCATCACCCATTCATCAAGTAGGAGTATAATTAAACAATGTCATGATATGCCATCTCAATTAATAATCTTATCAATTCTAATTTATATCCATCATCGACAGGGATTCCCTTTGATTATTGGTAAATGTTCTTTTAAACTTCTTTTCAACAAAATGATTGCTAAAAATTCTACTTGATCACCATATAGAAATTCACATGCAAATGTTTTCATTTTAAATCTCTGAATGCAACCCTGATAAATGTACTCATACAATATAATATGAATCAGTGAAATGAAGTAAAAGTTCAATGAACATAGGCGGATTAAGGGGGCCTGGGCCCCCCTTTTGTGGGAAAAATTTGGTTGATTGTATAGGGAATCACTGAAGCATGACTGGAGCCCCCCCCCCCCCCCCCCCCCCCCCCCCCCCCACTTAGGTCAGTCAGCGGGCCCCCCCTTATAAAAAGTTCTGGATCCGCCACTGATGAAGCATACAATGTACATATGGGTAAGAGTTCAGTGAAGCCTACAATGTAGGTGAGTCTCTTACCTGCTTTAACATTTTAATTTGTCATGTTTGATATACCTTATTTACAACATATCTCCAAAAATATTTGTTGCCCCATTTATTTTACTTATGGTAAAAGTTTTCAAGAGATGCACAGCACACTGTGCATATTGTGCTGTGCATATATGTCATTCAAATTATTGTTAAATAAAAAAAATATGAGTTTAATTGTCACAAGTACTTTGCAATAGTAATAGTGATATTGTTAGAGTAAAGCTTATTTCTCATTAATACAGAATCTTTCAAAATTGTAATTTTTCAAGTAGTGTAATGCCTACATTTATTTGAATTCTGTAAAAATTGTTGATAAAGCTTACAACACAATTTGAACATGATATAAAATCCACCTATATACAATGTGCATCAATGTTTTAATTATGCAAGACACTTGATATGGAGTTCAATGGTTGTTAAAATCTGCTAAAATTTTATGAGAGTTTTACATTTGTGTACAAACAAACAAATTATTTTTTTCGGTTCATTTTATCAAGATTTGAAGGTCTTGACAATAAAATTCTGTGTTTAACAATGGTATTTCTTATAAAGTTTTCTAATAAATTTTCGATTAATTTTCCTTATGTTGGATGTGCATTCATGCATGTCAACACAAATTACTTTGTAAAGAAATGCCAATTTGAAGACATAATCTTCCCAACTTTACTTGACAAATCAATTTCTCCCTAGGTTATTCATGTAATCGATGTATTCAAATCACAATAAAATGGCAAATTTCAAATAACCAAGTGATTTTTTTTCTTCGAGCTTAATTTGGTATCAACCATAAAATAAAATCCAAACCTATGTGAATCAATTTTGAAGAATGGTAAATCAGAACATTCTAGTTAGGTAGTAATTCCTCAATACAAAAAAAAATAAAATCAGATCAATACCAAATCAAGTCCTCAAAAGACGTGAATTTTCAATGGACATATTCAAATGAGTGTTGTAATCAGACATTACAAGATTTCAAGGCTGAGTAAATCAATCGTTTGTTGTTACATATATTGGACATTGCACTCAACATATCAATACCTTTTTTCAATACTGTAGCAAATGTCACTTCTAGTTCTACTGATTACAATTGATTACTGAATAGAACATCCTCAGGACAAATTGCTAAAGATGTAGTAAGGTCAGGGATATCTTATAAATTAGACAAACAAATTGTAAACATCTTACAAAGCAATCAGATAAATGGAAGATAAACTGTCCGGTAAATTAGAAGATACATTGCAATTGTGACCTAGCAGACTTTATTAAGATCTGCTGCATTTAGAAGTTTTCATCAAACAGAGAAGTCAAAAACCCTCACATGTTTTAATTGAATATGAATAAAATAGGATATTAGGTAAACATCAGTGAGACAGCAAACAACATAAAAAATAATAATAAAAGAACAGAGTTCCAATCCATGTTGCACATATTTTACCTGTCCAAATGCAATAGATTAAAAAAAAAAATTTTTTTGTTCTTTAAATTTTTTATCAATATCTAAAGAGAAATGAAGGCTTGAGAGCAAATGCAATGCAATCTCCGAAATAATTAATATTTCTAAGGGGCATAACTCTTTTAATTATATTTGATCGGCACAGCCTTTAAAATTGTCTGAGACATTGCTGATATAAACCTTAGATATGAATTTGAAAAAAAAATGTAGCACAAATTGTACACTTGTGACTTGAGAGCACTAACTGCAATTTTCCTTCTAATTAAAATTTCCAAGGGGCATAACTCTTTTAAAAATTGTTGATGGGCACTGATTTTTGAACATGTCAGAGAAATGCTGATATAAATCTATGTTATATATATCATAAAAATCTGGAAATAATTGTACATATGGGAGCGCTTACAAGACCGACAGACAGACACACAGATGGACGGACACCCTGTTTTTCAATGCCCCCAGCTGCAACATGTTGCACAGGGGACAAAAGGGTATATAGAGGTCAATGTGTGATCTTCAACAATAGGCAGGTTTCTATATATAATATATCAAGCTGAAAATCTAAATCTGATTTCCTGGTGAAGGTCATCTCTGGCCAATCCAGGTTCCTCCACCAATATTAACTGGTAGCCACAATATAGCTAACAGTGTTGAAAGTTGTGTTCAACACCAAAATTCAATCAATCTAAATATATAAGTCTAAAAAGTTGTGAATAAATTTATCAGCAAATATCAAATATCTGCCATCAACCACCAATTTCTGAAAATGACAAAAAAACTACCAAAAAGGAAGACTTCTTTTAGCAAACACATATAAAGCTTCAAATTAATGATCTATGCATACTTAAGCTAGAGCAGAAATATGAAAAATGGCTTTAAAGGACTAAAATAAATATGGCCCCCATTTCTAGCTAAATTTCAAGTAAGGATTAATTAACCAATATCATTATGAATCATATCTAAAACAATGACTAGATAGGAAAAAGTTCTCTTGTTCAAAATTTACGAATCAGCATTCTTTTTATGAGATACAAATAGCACAATTTTTATTTTCTCAAAATTCAATGAAAACAACAAAATTTTAATTGTTTTTAGGACCAGAACAGTGCATATGTCAAGAAAAAAGATCTTTTGACATTATGTTTTTTATAACAAATTACATATCTGACTTGAATACATAGTTTGTCGAGCTGACAACAAGCAACAAGCACTCTATATAGACATAAGTGTTGTGAACATTCAATAACGCGGTTTTACCTTTGTGTTAACATAACGTTGTTCCCGGCAAAATTGGCAGTTGCCGATTTAGCGTTACGAAATTACGCCAACATGTGGCATTCGAATAACATCTTTGTTTTCTAACTTGTTATTAATCCTACATTTCTTTAGTTACTTGTGTTTATATGCTTTATATTGATAAATCGGTGTCGAGACGTATGAAATCGTGATTGCTTTCTTTATAATCCAATATTTACGTATGTATTGACAGTGATTTATATGATTAACCTTGACCAGTAGCGACCTATTTTCTTACGCGCAAGGATAAGGCGTGCTAAGTATTATAAAAAGGGGATTTTCCGAATAGCAAAACGAATTTGAACTCATCTTTACAGAAACTTAATAGGTAAATACTTCACGCACGAAAATCACAGAAAACCGTTAAACATATTGTACTTTCATTCTTTGTAGTAATTTATAGTAATAATAATAATTTCTATTTCTTAAAATAGTAGTTTAGTTGTTATTTTATTTAGAAAACCTGGCTAATGTATTTCGAAAAGCTATTGAATAGAATAAATATCTACAGACTAAAGGTATTGTAAGAAAGATTGAGAACAATCTTTACACTGGTGGCAGCGAATTTAGTTTTCTTTTTAAAGAAAATTTTAAGAATCTACGTGAATATTTTATTAGGCACGCAATTGATAAGTAAAAATATTTTAAATTGTTACTGTCCATATTTGTTTACACTTAAAAAAAAACAAAACTGAACATAATAAAAAAGGACACTTCAACAAAAGGTGAAAGAAAAGAAAAGTACAGTTGGTGAGATTAATTAAGCTTATAGTATATTTTTCAGTAGTTTTAAATTCAACAAGGATAAATATAAATCCAAGTTGAAAAGAAATAATATAGTTAATCAAAATCTATGTCAACAAGGATAAATTCTAATCCAAGTTGAAAATGTTATAATTATTAAATTTGAGTATATATCAACAAGGATAAATATGAATCTATAAGTTGAAATAAAATAGTTAAGGGGTATACATCAACAAAGATAAATTCTAATCTAAGTTGAATGTTAAAAGATAAAAAAATTTAAGTCAAATTTCAACAAGGATAAAATAAAATCCAAGTTGAGCTAGATTAATATTGAATACCATATTCAATAAGGATAAACTTTAATCCAAGTTGAGTTTTAAAGTTAGCAGTCTATTTTTAACAGGAATAAATCTGAATCCAAGTTGAATAATAATATTATAACCATAATTTTTTCAATAGGGTCCAGTTGTAAAATTTATAGTCTATTTCAAAGTTGTAAATTAAATAGTCCATTTCATAAGCTTATTTTTTACAACAAGGATAAATATAAATCCAAGTTGTAGTT